CTAACTTTTCAAATGAGGACCATGCACTTATACATTCACATACTACTCAATGAAACATTAAGAAAGAACACTTTTTTGTCTTGCCCATCTACAACAACAACAATCTTCCTTGTATACACTCCACCACATTTGGTGCTAAAACTCTACTTATGCTGAGTGAATATATATTACTCTCACAAAGTTGTTATCGTGTGATTTTTAATTCCTCGAACAACATGTTTGCCCTTCAGTGACAATCAGTGAAATAATATTTGCATTCACCAAATGAGTCTTGGTCATCCATCAATAGGTCATTATCCATTTTGGTCAATTTGGAGTAGAAAAAAAGAGTAAACATCAACAAACCCTCCCAACAAGGTCACACGTTTTCACTGACGGATGACTACATGTGAGATATGTCCTTTAAAGCCATGGTCAGTGCCGGCCCTCAGCCTGATGTGTCTCAGGACAGGTGGTGAGAACGACTGCAGTTTGTGGCCATTTGTCCTGAACAAATTAAAGCCAAAGTCTAAGGGCCACTTGAAGCACCCTCTAATATGCAGCGGGGGAACCTGCGAAGCAATGCATTCCACAATGGGTGTTATAGAGCAGAGGAAGTTTGAGTCAAAGAAGGAAGGATGCCCTCTTAAAAACCAGGAAATGAGACTCCAGGATGCCAACTGCTCACCACCAAGGATCAGGTCACACAGCGAGATACTTACTCTGCGGTGTCTATTTAACCTTTTATGGTGGCAACACACCTAATTTCAACACACGTCAGACGTAGAAACAAACCACAGGGATGCTATGTTTAGTCATTGAGGAAAAAAAGGTGCTATAGTAATTAATATTCTACAAATAGACTACAGTGTTCCATGCGTCTGTTCGCATCCTGGTATTATTCAAGTTACAACAGGTGTGCTTTTATTTGTATCATATTTGTTTCTTGGACAACATGACATTGCTCATAATGTCCTCCTCCCTTGTCATGAGTCATCAGCCACTGCTGACACTGGCTGTCAATAAAGAATACCTTATTTTGCTCGTAAATCACACTTCACTACAAACCATGAGGCAGCTCAGTAATGGCGTACTCCCATCTAGGACAAACACACACACATGTAATGACAGAAATCAGCTCTGGATATTTTAACAGTGGGAGGATGCAGGAGCAAGGCCAAGGGCTGGGGAAAGGGAGAGGAAGGAGAGGGGAGATGGGGAGATAGACGGAGTCATTAAGATAGCTGGGGTGTCAATGTAATTCATCAGGCCTGATAAGGCCATGGCCCGCGGCCAAAGAGCAAGGTGTGGCACCTTCCCTCACCAATCACTGTCAATGGTAGCGTCCCTCGCAGCCGGTTTGTTGTTTTTACTCTTGCTATTAATATCAATATTGATGAAATTGAAATGAGAAGGAACAGCTGGATCATTCACCATCTGATATTATGTTCATGTGAAGTTTATTGTAAACGTTCTCTTCACATTTAAATGTCTCATATGATCACAATGTTAAGTCTTTATGACACAGTACCACACGAATGGAGTCCAGGATAAATCCTTTTATTCTGTGTTTAGTACCTTTTAAGCTGTTCTTATAGCTGAGTTTTGGGCAATAAAAAGGAGACCATGCATGTGGATATAAGTCCGACTCAACAAAATGTAAAGCTGCCAGGAACCCCAAAAATGAAACAGGTGCCTATAACAATGTCCAAATCTTTCATGATATACATTCAAGATATCATTATAGAACAGTTCAGGGTTTTAAAATATGTTGTGTAACTATTTATAAATGAAAATAAAGCAGAACAATTTAAGAATTTTAAGATTTTGCTTTTCCACTGCTTCATCTCAGCCGATGCAAAGTATGAACTGTGCCTCTGCATGTTAACTTTCCACCCATGAATGCGATTTTTGAAATCCAACGTGGCGTCATTGCACCTGAAGCGAAATTGTAAGTTGCAGAATCTGTCAAGGACACACCCACAAAGTCAAACCCATCCAAAATCAGATCAGTCCAAATTGAACACATTGCAACTTAAAGGACGTACAGAGAGGAGAGCTCCCTGTTTTTCCTCTTTAAATTACCCAAAAAACGATGTGTGATCCATCGCTGTGTCTCCAGGCAATGACGGATGGATCCATCAGCTGCGTTGTCTCCTGATTAAGTGGCTGTATCTAAACACAGCTTCCAATCTACCAATTTGTCTCAGTAGCAAACCACAGATGATTGATCTCTTGCACAGTATTTTCTCTCTTCACTCATCCATTTCCCCCTCTTTCTCTCTCGTCAGCAAGTTCCACCTCCACTCCGTCAAGCATCATGTGACCAAGGTGCACTGCTCCCCAAGTGGCCTGGCCTTGCAACAAGTTCTTTACAGTGAAAAGTCACACAAATGGCCATTCATATCAATCACTAAACACCATCAACCAGGCTTTCTGTTACCAATGGCACTGAGGCAAACACAGCCAGACCTGTTCTCAACATGAAAAGTTGCTTGTGCCCGAAATTCAAGGTGCTAAAACCGAGTTGATACTCAAAAGCGAGATTCTCTCTGTTGGGTTTTATCAAGGTGGCGGAAGTGAAACTCAAAAGGGTTTCGATTTCCAACACTGTCCTGATAAAGTTTGCAAAATATTTCATCCAGTTAGTGATGCTTTTGATGAAAGAGAGCACTATGGGGATCTCAGGGGGTGTAAGTGGAGGAAAAAGCTAAGGCCTCCTGCTGCATTTAGGAGGTGTGAAGGGCTGTCCAGGTTCCAGTGTTAAGCATCTGTCCCCCGAGCAACAAGCAAGGCTGTGTGGGGACCCGGCTTACCTCTCTGCACAAAGGATGTCCTGTATTTTCAATGCACATACACACACTTAAACACACTGAAACACATGACCCCTTAAGCTTTTCTCTTTGTCACAACGCACACGTTTCTGAGCCCCAGCTTACAAATACTTGTTTGCTGACAGCCTGCTGGTTTTCTGAGCTGAGGAGCAGAAGAGTGAAGAGCTTTAACCCACATCTCTTTCCCTCAGGCTGATAAAGTGCTCTGATAAGCTCCGAGGTGCTGGTGAAAAGTGGCTGGCCCTCAGCCCCCAGGGCTACAATATGAAAGAGTGGCTTGTCTGGAGCAAAGCACAATAGAAGAGATGATGAAGCCAGAAAAAAAAAAAAAAGGCATGGAGGAAGTCCAGAAGAAAGGAACTGGATTGATGATGAAGTGGTCTGGGTGCAGTGTGCATGTGTGTTTGCTCAGGTATGCATGTGTGTGTGTGTGCATACATTTGTGAGAACTTACTTTCGCCACCAGCTGTGGGCGGCGAGAGGGGGGCAGGGTGTGTAGAAACGGGGGAGTCCTGCCATGTGTTTATGTTGACTAATGAGCTAATTACCCAACCCCTAATCTACTTCAACTTGTGTCATTTCACAGGAATGCTGCAGCAGTCAAACGCTTGCAGATTATGGGTCATTTCCTGACAGTTAAAGGCAAACTACCACAGCAGTAATTCCTCCACACACCAGGCGCTAAACCACAAGGGCTACAGCCTCTCCATTTGCCTCTTCATGAGTTTATTGTCCTAAAATTTGACTCCAGGATTTATTCGTAAAAAGAGAACACGTTTACTTCAGCATCTTGCAGTGTATTAGTTAGATGATGTGACTCTTGACGTACTTCTTTGTCGGCCCTACTATAGTATGTGTCAGCCCAGACTCCCATCATTTGTACGAATGCATCATAAGTTTTTAATTATTTAATCAACACTGGCTCACATCTGTGCACGGTAGATCCAGATTGATAAACCAGATGCAAAGATAAGCATATACTGTCATTATACTGCTTAGATGTTAAACTCACATTGTAGTTGTTTAAAAAGTATTACAAAAGAGTACTTTTGTTGTGAGATTTTTTTCAATATTTTTGCTGTGACCTGTTAACAATGTACCATACAGGGACCAAAAATGATCTTCAAATGTGATGATTTTGATTTTTCCTCAGTAAAACTGAAGGATTATTTGTTCCTTGTATGGACATTTACCCTCCTACTTCATAAAAGGGCAACACCACCTGAATTCCAATATGTCATTTACATGGCCTATAAAGTACAATCAATATTTGTTTTCACAGCATGCAACAATACATAAAAGGCTTAAAGGAGAACTGCACCTTCAGGAGTAGTACTTATATCTTAAATAAGTTGCATAAAGCCTTTTGTGCCTCCAGATGTGGTGGTGCAGTTTGATACATTACCTCAAGTGATGCCACTTGAGTCAGCGTCGGCTGGGGCTGAGGAGTACAAGTTTGAAACTGAAAACAAAAAAACAAAGCTGGAGGTGTGGAGCTAACAAGAAGTGAGGTTACCAAACCTCTGCAGCCCGCTCCTCGTCTCTGCTCGAGGCTGGCAGCTTGAGGCTATCAGAGCAGCCTACAGTAGCCAATAGCTATTATGTAAACATCGAAAGCTCTTCGCGACTTTGCTGATTAACTGCCACTGTCAGGAAGTTTCAAGTTTTTGAGAAATATGAGGCATTCTTTCTTATAGCAAAAACATTACAAAGCAGCTGGAAAGGCTACAAGTCGAGATATATAACTTTGGGAATTGCTTTCAAGTGTTTCAGGTGAGTGTTGACGAATCCACTCAGCACTCCATCACTTGAAGTATTGCTTGCTTTCATCTAAGAAGTATTTAGAAAAAAAACATACATAAAATAGCTACCTGTCCACACTGGAACTGTCAGAGGTGAAGTAAGTCATGTTTACATATTAACTACCTCTTGTTAAGTGAATATTAATCGGCCGAAACAATTCAGATGAAAGTAAAAGATTTGAGGAAAAGCAGGGAAAAGTTGAAAGGAGTTTGGAGGATTGAATCAATCAAATTTCTAAGTCAGACAGTATGGGAGGTCTCCATCCCTTCCACCCACAGTGAGAGGTGTGAGTGGGGATTTAGTGAAGTCACCCCTTCCTCCCTCCTTGTTCATCATCCACCTCCCTGGGGTGCATGCTGCTCCGCTCCCCCTCAACAGGCTCCCATCCATCACTCCTAAGATTTCACTTTAATAGGTGGTCCTCTTCCTCTTCCACACACCCTTCTGGGAACATTTGGCTGAGGAGAACAAGACGGTGAAAGTGGGTATTGTTTAAAAAGTTGTTGATATGATTGGTGTCAATTGGAGACCTGAGTTTCCACTAAAACAATCCCTGCCAATACTATTTCTGCTGTTGTTTTTATATCTTCTCTTTTTATTTCCGTGGGTATTCTTATTATTATTAAGATTTACGCATCAGACATTATATTCTTTTTAATGAAAAACAAGATTCATTCTTCATACGTGCGACGGACAGCACTTATCATTCATCGCACTTCATACTTCTGCACTTTACTCTTTGTACTTCTTTTCTCTGTTCTTGCCGTAGCATTGAGGTTACTGTATACTGCCTGATGTGTTTGGAGAAGATGACAATAAATTGAATCTTGCATCTTAATACTTGACATCAAGGAATATGACGATGTTTTTCTTCTATTCAACAAAAAAAGACAAAGTTGCTGAATGTGTGGCTGATTAATTTAATCTTAACACAAAGGGTTTTATTTCACATACAGTAGTGAAGACCCAACCACATACAGTATATTCAATTTCGCAGTATTGGCCTATACCTGCAGAAGTGAACACCATAATGCTTTGTTTTGCTGATGCTCCCCAGTTTAGTCCACTCATTGCTCAGAGGGCTGAGCACGTAACACCAGCATGCTGGACTAGCCCGGGCCGAGCAGTAGCTCCTCCATTCAAACAGGAGGCAGGTTGGTTGATATTTAAATGGCCTCTGTTTGCTTTTCTTCTGGTCCCGTGTGTGCATGTGAGCCCAGTATAAAGGGCCGTGTCCTTTTGAAGGGGATAGCACCAGGAAAACGAGGGGGAAGGAAACCTTGCTTTGGTGTTTTATATATCAACGGAATGACTTCCCTCAAATAAAGACGTGCTCCATTCTGCCGGTCGGGCTGGAACAAGCTGCTCGTTTCCTGTCCTGAAAATTCGCAGTGTGTTCAGAACAATGCGCCCGGCTATGAAGGAGATATCACGTCCTGAAGATTTTGGGGGGCTGGTTTTCTTTGACCGCAAGTTCAGGCAGAATCATATGTTTACAGTATTTGTAACATTCGACTGAAGCAACACAATTGTGCCATTTCAATTAACAGAAATGCTGAAACAATAGAGAGCTATTCGGAACAAAAGGCAAAGATGAAAGTATTTCCTCCGAGGCTGTAAAGTCTCTTTAAACTCACTTTTCAGCCATAAACAGGAGCCACACAAAGACCCCTCTGCTATTTAATGAATTCTAGTTGAATTATTCTTCCTCTAAATGTTCATATTTCTGCCAACTGCCCTGGCCACGCAGCGGACAAAGGCTTCTCTTTGCCTCTCTCCGCTGGGAGCTCGCCATGCAGAGGTTCTCACTCGCACTGCCTCCTCATCAAATTACAGCCCTGCTCCCTCCTGTCATGTTGGCAAACAAAGGTCTTAAAGCGCACTCCAAGTGTAATTGCCTCTAATCTCGGACATAATGTGGCCTTTCATGTCAACTAGTCGGAGAGAAAAGGGAGCTGTTGTTCCCTCTGCCTTTTTTTTTCACCCACTTTCACGCCGAGGAGCACAGTTTAACAGTCCTGCTGCTGGGCTCTGGTTCCCATTTTGGAGGTGGAAACGAGATTTTTGTTGGGACACAGTGTAAACATCGTGACAATGTAAAAGTTTCCTCTGGAACTTAAAGACATGCCTGTCATTACCGAACCTCTGCAGATGAGCAAATATGTGGTAGTGTGGTTTAAATAAAAGTGTTTATGGTAGTGCAGTAGTTCTTGGTGAGCTCCTCCACCTTTGGCCTGGATTCTCTCCGTGGTGAGCATCAGGCAGTCTGCAGCTGGAAGTGTTTCTGCGGTTTGGCCAGGTGTCTCTCTGCCCTGCCTGGGACAAGGCCTCAGCGGGGCCTGGGACTGGAGTCTGGGAGCAGGCTTGAGGCGCTGAACGAGCTGGCTGCCCCTCCGTGATCTAAAATGTCCCGCAGACCCACCTGACCGGTGGTCAGCTGTAATTGATACAACACGATAGCAGCGCTGGAGGGGAAAAAGAGAAAATTTAGATGTGTGTGAGCATGTGGGGAAGAGAAACATAGAGCTGTGGAGAAGAGGAAAGAGAAGGAGAGAGGGGATAATGGAAATGTTGGACAAATTCTTTAACTGAAGAGGCCTTTTGGTTAAATAATGGAACGCAGACTTTAATATGGTTTCCAGGGGCTTTGGCAAGCAAAGATGAACATATCAAGTAAAAAACACAGTATCTGATATCTGTACTGTGCTAGATTTTAGAGCGAGTGAGGAGAGAGTGCAGGGTAAGAGGAGATGCGGTGTTTCTAAAACCATTCAGCTGGGCTTTTTTAAGGAACCCAGCTGTGCGCCCTGGAGGTCCTGAGCTCTAACTGTGGCAAAAGCAGCACAGTGAGGCCAGGCTGCAGCTTCAGAGCCTGGTTTGTGCCATGACCTGATGTTCCAGGAGCCTCTGTGAATTGATGGGCCCCAGGAGAGTTGTCACAAGGGCCCTCGAACAATCACCCATTCATCCCTGCAGCCACAGCAACAGGGCAAACACTCACACAAGTTTAAAAGGCTGTTTTTAAATCTGACATGAAATTTTTTTTAAACACATTGTATTTTGGGGGGGGGGTTTCTTGAGAATTAGAAATAAATAGCTAGCAAGACGTTGGAGACACTGACAATTACGGATAGGTTGTCCTCCACCACCCACATTGAGATTCTCAGGTGAGTAAAATAAGTATAACCCCCCCCTTGTGAATATGGCCAGTATATTTTCGGATAATGTGGCTGAACTGGCTCGAGCCCATCACGCCTCATGTGCCAGGACTACACACTGCTGTTACATAAGACAGCTGAGCCAGTCCAGACATCTAGACTAGTCCTTATGTGGACAAATGGGTGTGTCTCACTGTGTCCCCTCACCCCAAACCCATTTACCATGACTGTATCAACCAACTTCTCTCCAGAGTTTTCTAAGTCCCTCTCACTCTCAAAGATTAGAGGCCTGGAGGTCAGCTGCACATCAGTTACATTTTTCTATGCTTCGCCGGCCAGTTATTTATAGAGCGAGAACAAATATACAATGGTATACGAGGGTATAGTGGTTTGGGTAGGAGGCAGGTTAAGCCCAGGAACATCTGTCCTTTCAAAGGCATCTCTTCCTTGGTATGCTCAGAATCCACTCCAGGGGTGTCGGTGCTTCACTGGTAGTCAGAGAGATGGCATGCTAGTCAAAACAGAGCTGAAGAGGAGGGAATGAAGAACATCATCCAAGCCCAATCTCCCAAATAGCACAGTAACATGTTCCCGAAGTCACCTGACTCCTGACGATATTTGCAAGTATTTTAAAGGTGTGTCTCAATGAACAGAAAACACTCATGTCAGGGCAGGGAAGAAACAGAGCAGAAACAGCAACATTTATGAGGTGCAAGAGGAGAAATGACAGTTAAAACCTGAATTATTGACTACAGGTCTTAAGCAGAGATTATTTGATATTATGCTAATATAGACTGTTCATATGAAATGCATGCTCGTCCAAGAGAAGTTTTTTTTGTTGAAGTTTAACCTAAAGTTACACGTGTGTTGTGTTCAATAAAAAGAGCATTCAAGGACAACACACTACCCTGACTGCCAATACCGTAACACATAGTATAACTGGACAACAGGTACAAATGTAATGTGTCACAGGATTTATCTTCGTCACTTTGCCTTTGTATTGTTTGTCCTTTGGGCCGACACATGACGTCTTCTCAAGGCAGGAACACTGTCTGTGTGTGTGTGACAGAGTCTCTGTTTAGTCTGTCAGCGTCAGAGATGCTTCATTACACACTCGTAAATCCAACCGCACCGACACTCCCAGTCCGACCTCTCACTCTCTCTTTGACTGATTCTTACTGACATGCATGGAAAACAAACACACACACACACACACACACACACACACACACACACACATAAATGTATGCAGATGCGCTGGTTAGACAACGTCAACAGCTTTATGTACCTCTCATTTTCCACTGAGAACCTGAGATTTTTTAAATTAAAATAAATAATATAACAATCTGTATATTAAGATGACACAAATGAATAATCATAATTGTGTATAAACATCATTAAATACTTCTCATTTCAACTTGTCATTTTTTCAAGTAACATTTAGCCTTATTCTAAAACATGATTCAAACTGTTTTTTAAATTCACTCAAGTACAATAATACTGTTAATAATAATTATATTAGTCTAAATAATGACAATTATTATTATCATATTGTCCGTTATTTGTTGAAAAAAATACTTATTGTTGCTACTTTATTTTGTGACTCAGGAGACAATAAGCAAAACTGTACAAAACAACTAATTGAAACGTTTTTTTCTTTTCCTGTGGACCTGGTGTGTTTTACTTCCTCAGCCATGCGTCGCAGAACAAGTAAGGGAACTTTGAGGATGAACAGCAGACTAAATAAACTCACTGAAAATAGAAATATCACATTTGCACTGGCTGAGAGATGCTTTATATCTGAAACTGCTTGCTGTTTTGAAACACACAATATCTTCTATTATTTGACAAGTAGCAAGTTTTTATTGATATGAAATGTTTATTTTTCATTCTTTTATGATTATGTATCGGATCCATTGCAAATACATATTCTAGATTTTTGACAAATCATTTCTTACCCTTTTTAAACCCATTCACCCACTTCAAACACAGGCCAAAGCTCAAACCAACAACTTTGTATTCAAAATATGAATAAATCCCACATGATCAAAAAATCCCAAATCAGGCTTAACTTTATGAAATCTGTTTAAATGTATGCACAAGTCGTGAGAATAGAATTTCTATTTGATGTGAAGGCAATTAAAATGTGTAGAAAATGAGTATAAAATACAAGAAATATGCTTTTCTAACTTTATGGGAATTTATTTTTCAGGAAAGAGAATAAAGAGAATATTTTTTGACTAATAGTTGATTGAATTAGATGTTGGTGAAATGTTAAAAACTTAAAATCAAATGACGTCTACGATTTATTTTTTCATCAATAACATCAATTTACCTGCTTTTATTGTGCAGTTATTTTTCAGTTATAATGTACTTTATAATGAACCCCGACCACCTCATTCTATCACGATGCAATGTGTTGTAATAGTCCCCCAAACAGGGACACATCGACGGTGATTAAACTTAGTTTCTCTGACCGACGCTTGTGTCTGAGGGCCTGAACAACACGCTCACCTTCAGCTTGGCTCGTGCAGAAGCGACAGCAACGAGGTGAGAGATGAAAGAATGAAATCCACGTTCAACACACAGGTCTGACCCTCATGCAGAGGGATTATTGCTAAATGTGTTCGCTCTATAATCCTTAGAATATAGATATGTTTACACCGTAAAAACGACGCAGAAAAAGGAGCGGGGGCAAGAATTTAGACGTAAAAAAACAAACAGGCGATAACTTCAAAGTAGGTACACGTTTGCTGGTCCCTAGGGTGTTGCGAAACGCAATTTCATTATTTATATATGTTCACAGTGTTCACACTGAGGGTGTTTTTATTTTAACCAATTAGAAGTATTATATATGAGGAGGAAATTAGTTGTTATTAAACCAACCCCCAGTTACTTCATGGTTGTAATTGTTTTCGTTATTTCCCATCACAGACTGGTTACACCATACATCCTGTACCTCTTCAGGCAAAAATTATAAAACGTTTCGGTTGGGTCACAAATTCAGTGCATGCTGGGAAGTCTACAATGTTTCTCCGTCAATTTGCTGCGTGGACTTTCAATTAGTAATTTGATTTTACAAAACATACACTTTATTTCACTTAAGTTTTGAGATAGTATTTATTTATAGTATTACTAAACAACATTGTATACCTGCTTATGTTTTCTATTATGAGAAATACTTGTATACAACATTTTAGAAACAATAGGGGAAAAAGGGGAAAAAATAATATGTTTAACCAGAGGTGGATATTTATAATGCATCATGAATCAGCATATCATGAAAAGTTCAACAGAGCTGACAAACGGCTGCAAGAAATGACTCCCCCTATAATTACACTTTAAGAGCAGAGGAAGCTGAAGGCCTGAACCCCCGTCATTCATTCGGCATTAAATAAACACAAGACCCATCAGTGTCAGATATGCCCCTCACACAGTTGCACTGTAAATAATGACTTTCATGGCCGTGAGCAAAAAAAAAACCCCGGGGTCATGATCAGGCTACGTGAAGAACAGTCAAAAATTAAACGTGTTATCACTTTGGTGTATCCTCAATTCATATTCACCCCTTCTAAAAAAAATGTTTTTGAAGTATGACACATTATTCAGCATGGAGAAAGATCAGGAAGCAGCATGTTGTTACTTGCCCAGTGGAATAACACAACACAATATCAGCAGACGAATGATGAATACCGCTCTCTTGTAACAAATACTACAGTCCCATGGTGCAACAATATTGTTACTGAAACAAAACAATGGTAATAATGTGAGGAGAGTAACGTGTTGTTCACGGAGAGGTTTGCAGGATGAACTGAATTGTGATATCTAACACGTCATGGAATTTCTATTCTTCATCCACCCCGGCTCCCCTTTGATGCCGAGCGTAATAAAGCTCTAAGAACCTATGAAGACACGGATTAGCCGGGGATTACGCTGATTCAATGACAAACAATTATTTGGAGTGAAGTTAAGATCAAAAGCTAAAGTTTGTTCGACAGCGAAACAACAGTGTCAGACTGTGATTCCTGTCTCCTTGTCAGTGCAACAATTTCTACAGTATATTAGTATGAAAAGTGGTGATTAAACTAAAAACTCAACATATTCAGTCTTTTTAAGGCAAGGGAAATCATTTTTGAATCTATATATTTTTCCAAACCTAAATTCTGATTTACACCTCAATCACACAGACATTAGACGCCCCCGTTGAGCTCTGTCCCTCTCCAGTTGTAGCTTAGTGATTTAGGATGACCTTTATAACCTTAAGGTCAACATCAACATTGTTTTAAGGTGTACTTGTGTGGGCGAGCAGTGCTAATGCTCTGTGACACAATAAAACATTTTTAAATTGGTAATAAGAAAGGTTGCATCTTTTTTTCCCCCTTGCCTTATCATTAATTCTTGCCTTGTGTACAAAAGTGCCTCTGCAAACACCTTTGGAAAAATACTCAATAATAAAAGGAATACCACAAAATATTTGAATTATAGTTTCCGTTATATTTCTAGACAATAACAACAACTACACTGACTTGTTTTACATTTTCCACCCAGTAATGTGCCTCCAGAGGGCCCACGCTTATGGTCTTAACTGTGCGACGCACCAAATATTTAGAGTAATAGCTGGTTACTGTGCTATCTCTACCACTACAAGCTGTCAATCTCTACCCTGGAGCTAATTAAAAAGGCCCAGGCGCTTTATTTGTTTGCACACACTGAGGGCAGACTGGAACAGTCAGGCGTGGGGGGCATGACAAGCACGCCATGCCCCCTTAAATCACTCCCCTGTGCCAAAACGCTGACACCACAAAACAATCCTGACAAAACATTTTGCTCTGTCCCCAGTGTGGGCGAGACGAGAGAGGGGAAAAAAAATCATGACTGGGATCATTTATAGGAAATTATCTATCTTTCTGTATCATTCCTCTCCTTCCCCCTCAGCTCCAAAATGACACAGCTTTTGTCCTGTTTGTGTCACACAGATTCACACCCTCCTTGTATTCCCTCTCCACATACAATAAAGGAGACTTTTTGCATCGTTCAATATAAAACATGCTCTGACTTACTGTATTGTCCCAGGCCTGCATCCGATCTGGCGTGCGTTGTCTTTTCTTTATGTGTCACTGCTGCTGTCGTTGAAGTAGTTATGCTAGCCGCGGAAACATGCATGTCCCGAGAAGTGACACAAAGATGGAGCTGGCATGGAATAAAAGACTCGTGCATTTTAATTGTGTTGCAGTGGACCCTAGGGCATCAGCTGCTGTGGCCTCGTGGCTCTCTGCTGCCACCTGTCTGTCTGTCGAGAAGCACATCAGGACCTGCTCTGAAGATGGACCTGCAGAATGTGCTGAGTAATGCTGGGGGGGGGTCATGTTAAAATACCTTAATTATTGTCTTGATGTTGTCATTTTTTGGTTTTCAATTAATTCAATGTTAGATCGACAAAGCAAAGAGAGCCAAACATGTCAAATATTCATCTTTCCATAAAATTCCAGCAGGACAGTTAAAATGTTGAGTGACTAGACCTTTTTGAGATAAATCATTTGATTGACTCTCTTGAGGGCAACAGTAAAATTGTCTTGATCCTGATTAAATCTCAAACCAGTGTTTGGAAAGCGAACCTCTGTTTTGCATGACTTCACGGCCCAACAGGAAGCCATATAAACTGTAACATAAATAGCAATCAGGCCATGAGTAAACCAATCAGCAGCTTTGTTTCAAAATATGCACCAATCAATTAGCAAATGGATTTCCTTCCAAATTAAAAGACCGAATCAAAGCAACTCGTAACGGACAATTTACAGTTTTTTACAGTTGTTAGTTGATTTGCAGTCTTTGTAGATTTATACTCGCTTAAAATGTGTTGACATTGCAAAGGTTTTAATCATTTGATCAATCATCGGTCTATTCTGTTTGATGAATATCTTTCTTTGACGCGATTATCGCCCGTTGAGCTCATCTTGATTTTATCTCTTGGCACTATCTTCTTATTCACTGTAAAGATGGGAAACAATAGCAGATAGTTACCACTTTTTAGATTCAAACAACTTTCCTTACAGGCTCTTGAAGACAGACCGTTGGCCTCAAATGTACTCCAGTCCCACTCACACAGCTGTCTCCCAGACTACAAGCAGAGAGCTCCATCACCTGCATCCAGCTGCAAACCACAAACAGATTGAAGTATTCCCCTGGAGGGGGATTTTGTGGAGTCAAGCCATCATCGGCACGGAAGTCCAAGAGGCCAAATATCAAGTACTGGCCTCATGGTCCATCAGCAAAGGACATATTGCACAGCTCTAATCTTTTGTGCCAGTGAGGGCTGATACAGTAGTAGCTAGGAATGTTGTCTGAGCATGTGACAACATTTCCCAGACCACTAAACATTGAAAACAGACCCACGAGGCAACATATTGCATCGATTTAGTAATTTGACAAATAGCTTTGGAATGAGTATCCGTGTGCAGTCATTTGAAAGCAGTTGCCATGCAAGTATTGGATAAAAGGAAACATGGTTTCTTATTTTAAGAACAGGAAATGAGACAATGACAGGAGACAAACTTATCACATATTGAGACGATTGTGGTAACTGCGGTTAGAAATGCTCTCTGAATGGTGTCTTTATTGTCATCCCATTCACAAGATTTTCATTACGTCTGCTGAACTGCTGCAGTTCATGTCTACATGTTTACAGTACAGGATCATGTTATCGAGTGTATTCCAAGGAATTTTGGCAATAACCTATACCTGTTAATAAATTATATATTTCTTGTCTTGTTTTTGTTAATGTGATTTTCTGCCACATGTTCTTGTGTGAGACCCTTGTTTTGTTGAGTTTTACCGCAGTTATTTTAAATATAGCAGGTTAGCTGAGTGGTGAAAGATAGTCAGTCTTCTGTGGTATCGTTGAGCTCTGAATCCTGACACCAGCACCTTGGACTCTGGAGCCGCATGACAGAAAAAATCTTCCGATTACTGAAGCAATTTCTAAACTCATGGCCGTTTCATATCCTTTTACAGATCTGCTATCTCACCTTGAGAAATCCTAACTACCTGTGAATTAGATTCGTTAAACAGCACTTGTTCTGTCACGCCTGACAAGATTGTCTCAGTACTATTAATACGGGAAATTCAAAGCGCCCTCATACGGTTTTGTAGGCTTTCATTTATTATATATCAGTGTTCATGTTGTTTCCCATCAGACCTAATCCTAATTAACTTAATCCCTAAATCAGGATGGTTCTATAATAGCTAAATTCTTATCCAAATATAAGAAAGATTTTTCTTCCCTGAATGCAGATGCTAAATGCTGTAATACCAAATAATCCTAAAAGTCACCCTAAAGAAAGATAAGATAGGGTTTCAGATCTAGGAAGTTTCTGTAATGAGGCTCCTGGTGTGTGGTCCGGAGCAGGAACTTCCGGGTGTGAATCACCGTGGTGTTTTTCTTTAATTTCCCTCAACATGCTACTGGTCTGATTCAGATTACAATTCCTCACATTGTCTGAGATTGTATGGGAATCATTTTTACTTTCAACAACCCATATTTGATTTTGAAATTTGTCAACTGGACCAAAAATAGTACATCACACCTCGCACACCCGCCCTAAAGTATGTGTGAACACGAGGTTAGCTCTTACATTATGCGTCAGGGCAATCGGCACCAAACAACCACCGAGGCTCACGATCCGAGTTTGGCTTCGCAAAACACAACACAGTGTTTGCCCTCCTTCTGATTTTACTAAACCCTGCGAACTCCAATGTGAGACTTCAGTCAGCGAGAGCAGAGCAGTTGAGAAAACAGGATTAATCGCTATAGCAACACCTGGAAGCAGCACGTGCAAGCATGAGAGAAAAGTGATCCCGGTTAACTGCAGCAGATAATAACACTGCTATATTTATATTTGCGTTTGGCAAATGGACAACTCAGCCATTCCACCACTAACCACAGTCAGGTTTTTTTTTGTCTAAACAGTGCCAGTGTGAGTCTGAGCTCAGTGTTGGAGTGACGTGTAACAGAAGAGTTTCCTAATACTAACAGGGCCAATGGTGTCAAGTGACTTAGAGTCCTCAGAGTTTCTAATTACTGGAAGTAGGAGTTGCAGCATGTCAGTGAGTCAGTGCAATAATGTGGCGGACAAAGTAAGACCTGGAAAGTGAAGACAATAGAGGGTGTTTCATTATGTAAGTGACACAGTGATTATTCTGTGTGTTCTCTTGGGTTAACACATTAAACACACATTCTCTGATTGCACTAAAGCACCTGCAGAACATGGTTTCTGCCACAGAACACTGTTTATGTTTTGAAGCTGACTGACGTTAACTTTAAATTTGATTTCTTTGTTTGATGAACAGACATTTCCTGGGTGAAGATGTTGAATAAAAGCTTACATTATTAGGAAGAGTGGTTGCAGAGCAATTTGAGGAGTACGCCTTGAAATCAAAGGGGGAAATTGTGAATACTTGAGGAAAGGTTTGGGGACAAAAATCTGACCATATTTGTACTGAAAAAGCCGCCTCATTATCGAACTATTTTTCTATATCATGTTCTACAATCAAAGTTAAAGACCCCCTCAAAAAAAATGTATGACATAAAAATACTCGAGTCATAATTTGTGTCTGCTCTGCTTCTAGTGAACAACTCTTAAATGCACGTCTGCTCCTTCTCCCTCATTGGTTTACAAATTTAAATCGCTGGACACTATGTCTCCTGCTTCACTGCAAAAAGTCCATTCTCAGTGGTGCGTTCATGTGCAGTGCAGGTTTCAAGTTTCCACATCACACTTGTGTAATATATTGTTCAGTAAAGGTACACTGTCAGAATGAAATATTGGTGTCACAGCCTGGCACGAAGTCCAGATGCCCTCAGAGTTGTTGTGGACTGGAACGAGTTGTTTTTTGTGTTTTGTGTTTTCTGTACTGCCTTTCCCTCCTTTGGACATCTACACACCTCCTTTGAATCAGCCTCGTTAGTTCTTCTCAGTCAATCAACGCCCTGCCTGTTCTCCTGCCCAATCACCTCATTCACCTGAGATGAGCTTCTCAGCCCATCTCTCCACCTGCACTTCATCCTCTCGTCATATTAGTTTGTATTTAAGTCCAGGTCTTCACCTCAGTCTTTGCTGGATCCTTGATTTGTTGTGTCCAGTTCGGCGTTGCCTGCACAGACCCGCGATTAAGAATTATTTCTTCAAGCTCTTGTTGCCTGTAGTCTTCTGCGTTTGGGTCCACCTGCTCCACTCTTGATGACAGTTGGCATTGTTGAATTTGGAGTTTCAGAAATACATTTCACATGAGCCTTGTATCACACTTACAGCAGTTTGATTTATTGCTCCATATTAAACACTGAAAACACTGGATCTGACTTAAAAAAGGCTCATTGTGTGAAAAATCACTGAAGCGTCACACGTTTCACAGATTTCTCCTGTGGACGACCCTCCTGATTTATTCATCACTCCCTTTCGTGCTACAGATAATGCCTGTCTCTACCCTCACCAGGCCCCAGGTCACATTCAGGTGGAGCTTCTGTTTGACGCCACAGGGCCATGATCCCAGCCTGACAGACCTCTTTTTTATATATATAACTCTGTGACCCTCAGGCCCCAGACAGTACGCAAGGCTGTGTACGGGAGCTCGCTCTGCTTTTATAGAGGCTTTTCCGGTCCGTCACTGTACGCATTGTGCCAAAAAAGATGGCAACTATCAAAAGAGACGTAGAGGCCGAGGTGAGAAAGGGCAAAGAGATGTACAAACAATGGGAGTGAACGAGAGATAAGGTGTCAGACAAAGAGATAGTGATAGCAGCGGAGTGAAAAACGTGTTATCGCTGGGGCCTGTTCGACACAGACTGAGTTGCCAGAGCTATGAGCAGGGGCTTGTTGGAATATGTGTGGGGCCATAGGAAGTGCTGCGTGGAGAAGATAACAGTGTGTAAGTTTGTGTGTGTGTGTGTGTGAGTGATGGAGTGGAGAGGAGGCGTGGGGTGGGTGGGGGTTAAGAGAGTAACGGTGTCCTCAGCCCTGCCCTGCTTTCCTCTATTCACTGCCCGCATCCTGTCTGTGTGCTGCTCCCTAATGGCTTTTAATGAGCCACCGGTGAATCCTTCTCCTTCCTGCCTTCACACAACATGCCGGGCAAGAGAGAGTGAAAGGAAGAGAGGGAGAG